TGACACATAGGAGGAAGATGTTAAAGAGTACAAGTGCCAGCACACAACATTGCCTCAAATCGATGCTTACTCCAAAGGGCACTGACTCCTGCCCTCTTATGGCCAGCCGAGCCATCATCCCATCATTGAACTGGCAAAGGATGTTGACAAATTCGTCTGGACAGTCAAATTTGAGTAGAATGCCCCATAGTAGTTCCCTACTCACAGTGTTGAAGGCCTTGGAGAGGTCGACAAAGGCCATGAAAAGGTCCTGACGTTGTTCACGGCACTTTTCCTGGAGTTGCCGTGCCGTGAATATCATGTCGACCGTATTCCTGTTCTTTCTGAAGACGCATTGTGACTCTGGCAGCAGTTCCTCTGTGATGTTGTTCACCAGCCTGTGTAGCATCACCTTGGCCAGGACCTTACCGGCAACAGCCAGAAGGGATATCCCCCAGCTGTTGCCGCAGATTAACTTGTCACCCTTATTCTTATAGATGGTGACAATGTTTGCATCCCGCCACTGTTGGGGGACAACCTCCCGCTCCCAAACCTCAGTGATGTACTGGTGGAGTGTTCTGGTGCAGAAGTAATCTCCCTTCATAAGTAACTCTGCCGGGATGCTGTCAGCGGCAGGAGCCTTGTTGTTCTTGAGGGACTGGAAAACTGATAACACCTCTTGGAAGGTTGGCAAATGGTTGAGGTCTTGAATGGGTGGACGGCAGGCAGTTCTTCCAAGATGGAGTGGTCTGTAGGAGAGCACTGATTGAGTAGTGCTTCAAAGTGGTCAGCCCACCTCATCAGGATCTGGTTTTGGTCCTTCAAGAAAGTCAGACCATCAGCTGTTTTCAGGGTGGTGATGGAGTGACTTCTAGGGCCATAGCTAGCTTTGGCTGAGTTGTAGAAATTGTTCATGTCGTTTTTGTCGGCATAAATTTTGATATCCGGTGCCTTATTTGTCCACCATTCATTCTGCAGAGCACGCAAGGATGTTTGCACTTCCTTGCGAAATGCACGCCATTGTTGGCGGAGGGTAGCAGATGTGAGGCTGTTGAGAGTAGCCCTGTGCGCTTTGTGCGTATTGTCCAGAGTTCTCATCGAACCAGTATCATACGGTGATCTGTCCAGCATACTGCACCCCTCATGGCACGTGTCAGCAGGACGTCATTAGTGTCAGAACGTCTCACTTTGAAGTAGTCGATCATTTACATTACATTTTACATTTTAGTCATTTAGTAGACGCTCTTTCCAGAGCGACTTACAGTTAGTGAGTGAATACATTTTCATACTGGCCCCCCGTGGGAAACGAACCCACAACCCTGGCGTTTCAAACGCCATGCTCTACCAACTGAGCTACAGGGGACTACTGCCAGTGTTTGGAACGTGGGTGCATCCATGATGTTTTATATTTGTTCTTCTGCTGGAACAAGATGTTAGTGACGATGAGATCCTGCTCGGCACATAGAGTTAGCAGTCTCATGCCGTTCTCATTGACCTGGCCAACACCATGCCTACCCAGCACTCCGCTCCATTTCCTGTTGATCTTGTCATTCCTGGGGATGCGGTGAAGGGCCTCATCTAGTGACTGGTAGAAGCAGTCTTTTGCCTCATTTTCAGATGGTAACGTTGGTGCGTATGCACTGAGAAGAGTAGCATAATGCATCTTGGCTAGGGGAATACGGAGAGACATGAGTCTTTCACTTATGCCGACAGGTGTTTCGGTGAGGCTGGGTAAAAGGCTGTTCTTAATTGCCAGTCCCACACCGTGCTGATGTTGTCCACCCGGAGGGCAACCTTTCCAGAAGAAGGTGTAGCCTTCTCCCTCCTCTTTCAGGGAACCTTCATCCAGGAACCTGGTCTCACTCAGGGCAGCAATGTCAATGTTGTAGCGCCTTAGTTCTGCAGCAATCAAAGCTGTTCTCGTTATTTTCGTCAGTGTCCAAAAGAGTTCTGATGTTCCATGTCGCCAGTTTCAGGGGAATTATTTTCTTTCGCATTTTTCGACCGCTGAGTGGAACTCCCGATAGGTGCGGTAGCCTATCCAGGAAGGAGTGAGTGGGCAATTTTTAGGCCACCATTTCTAGGCCTCTCCCCAGCTGGGGTGAGCAGTGTGGCTCCTAAATAGGACTGCTCAGTCACACAGGGGTCTGCCGAGAGCAGCTGCCACTCAAGTACCAACTGCTGGAACCATAATAGTCCTGTGACGCTGGCGTGCAGGGGTCTGATTAAGGGCTCCCGGTGCATTTACTCCTGCCCCCGTCACCAGACACCCCAACGCCGCCAGATTTAGTCCGTTTTCCGGTTGATGGCTTCACCGAGGTCAGAAGTGGATACCTGTGCAAACGAAGTTATTTAAAGTGCAGCTGAGGGTGCGCAATCCCCAACAGCATTACTTCACTGTAGAAAGGTGAATTCCAGTGGCAAGGAGGGAAACCCATGCCGATTAGTATCTTCCACAGCTGCAGGAGGCTGCCGGATCCCCAGTCTGTCGGTGTCTGCCTACCGCGCGCCACCAGCATGCTGCTTTTCTCTCAGGGTGTGCTCCTCTAGCCTTTGTTGTACCAGACTAACCCACAAGGCAGCGGGGCAGTGGTTGATGGCTGCTGAACCACACAACTACTGACTACAACTACTGACCATAATCACTGACCACAACTACTGACCAAAACCACACAACTACTGACCACAACCACACAACTACTGAACCACACAACTACTGAACCACACAACTACTGACCACTACTGACTACAACTACTGAACACAACCACACAACTACTGACCACAACTACTGAACTAAAGTACTGACCAAAACTACTGACCACAACCACTGACCACAACTACTGACCAAAACCACACAATGACTGACCACAACCAAACAACGACTGACCTCACAACTACTGAACCACAAAACTACTGAACACAACTCCTGACCACAACTACTGACCACTACCACACAACTCCTGACCACAACTACTGACCACAACCATACACCTACTGACCACAAATAAGGACCACAACTACTCACCACAACAACACAACTACTGACCAAAACTACTGACCACAACTACTGACCACAACCACTAAACTACTGACCAGAACTACTGACCACTACCACACAACTCCTGACCACAACTCCTGACCACAACTACTGACCACAACTACTGACCACAACCATACACCTACTGACCAGAACTACTGACCACTACCACTAACCTACTGACCACAACTACTGACCACAACCACTAAACTACTGACCACAACCACTGACCACAACAACACATCTACAGACCATAGTTACTAGCCACAACTACTGACCACAACTACTGAACACAACTCCTGACCACAACTACTGACCACAACCACACAACTACTGACCACAACTACTGAACCACACAACTACTGACCAAAACTATTGACCACAAGGACACAACTACTGACCAGAACTACTGACAACAACTACTGCCCACAACCAAACTACTACTGACCACAAGCACATAACTACTGATCACACAACTACTGACCACAACCACACAACTGCTGACCACAACTATTGACCACAACCACACAACTTCTGACCACACAACTACTGACCACAACTACACAACTTCTGACTACAACCACACAACTGCTGACCGCATCTAGTGACCACAACCACAAAACTACTGACCACAACCACACAAATATTGACCACACAACTGCTGAACCACACAACTACTGACCACAACTACTGACCATCATTTCTGACTACAACCACAGAACTACTGACCACAACCACACAACTACTGACCACATAACTATTGACAACAACACCACAACTACTGACTATACCAACTGACCACAACTCATGACCAAAACTCCTGATCACAATTACTGACCACAACTACTGACCACAACCACACAACTACTGACCACAACTACAACTTCTTCCATTACCACAAAAATAAAGCAAGCCCCACAACTTTACTTGTAAAGTTATCATCTAGTTAACTACTGAAAACACTACCAAGAGCTTCAACCAGCGAAGACTGCTGAACTCAGCTTAGGTCCACCAAAGTTGGCCAGACGGCATTTTCAGTCAGAGCGTCTGGCTTATGTAACACCCTGCCAACCAGTGTGTGAGAGAGCAGTACCCTTGCTAGCTTCAATGCAAATCTGAAAAAGTGGCTAAAGGCAAACCAGTCATGTCAACATTAAAACATTCCGACTCTTAAGATGTCAGATACTGTAGAACCAAGGCACATTTAAACTCTGATGTAATATTGTCATTATATTGTCTACTGTTGTATTTTTCAATGTTTTATATATAGAGATATTTTAATAGTGTGTTATATTGTAGCATTGTAATGATGTATTGATGTTGATTGTTTTCTGCCCAGGTGAAAATTAGATGAAAATTAGCTATTTAGCTAAATCTTGTGCAATGGTATGTTGTACATGGTCCCTGTAAAATAAACAAATAAATACATTTTAATTTAGTTCAACAACCAGAAAGGTACTGCAAAATGCATTTAAATTACTAGTTGAACTATATAATATATAATATAATAATAATATAATAATATAAATATAATATAATAATATAATATGCCATTTAGCAGACGCTTTTATCCAAAGCGACTTACAGTCGTGCGTGCATACATTTTTTTTGTGTATGGGTGGTCCCGGGGATCGAACCCACTACCTTGGCGTTACAAGCGCCGTGCTCTACCAGCTGAGCTACATGTAGTTCACTACTTCCCATTCCTGTTTATACTCTACCTCACTCTGTAGCTGGGAAGCCTCTTTGGCGTGCTGGGTCTCCATTGTTTCTGGTAAGGTGGAGTAGAGAGAACTAGAAACTCCCTTCTTCCCTGCTTCTTTGTACTTCATCTAAATTGAGGAAAAACAGATTCAGCATTATATTTAGTATGTATTTCCAATGAAAGGATCTATACAATTTTGATGGACATCGCTATCATTCCAAATGGAACAAATATGTACGAAAATTGTCCCTTAACTGTAAGGGATAATAGTTGCTAACCTCACTCTGAAGTTCAGAGACAGCTTTCGCAAACTGTGTCTCGGTGGTTTCTGGAAGCTGAGAGTACACACTCGTGGAGATACGCCTTTTTCCTTCTTCTTTGTATTTATTCTGGAAAAAATAAAGTATTGCGATATACACTTCATGATCAAAAGTATGTAGACACCTGCTCGTCGAACATCTCATTCCAAAATCATGGGCATTAATATGGAGTTGGTCCCCCCTTTGCTGCTACAACAGCCTCCACTCTTCTGGGAAGGCTTTCCACTAGATGTTGGAACATTGCTGCGGGGACTTGCTTCCATTCAGCCACAAGAGCATTAGTGAGATCGAGCACTGATGTTGGGCGATTAGGCCTGGCTCGCAGTCGGCATTCCAATTTATCACAAAGGTGTTCGATGGGGTAGAGGTCAGGGCTCTGTGCAAGCTAGTCAAGTTCTTCCACACCAATCTCGACAAACCATTTCTGTATGGACCTCGCTTTGTACACTGGGGCATTGTCATGCTGAAACAGGAAAGGGCCTTCCCCAAACTGTTGCCACAAAGTTGGAAGCACAGAATCGTCTAGAATGTCATTGTATGCTGTAGCGTTAAGATTTTCCTTCACTGGTACTAAAGGACCTTGCCCAAACCATGAAAAACAGCCCCAGACCTTTATTCTTCCTCCACCAAACTTTACAGTTGGCACTATGCATTGGGGCATAGTTCTCCTGACATCCGCCAAACCCAGATTTGTTCGTAGGGCTGCCAGATGGTGAAGCGTGATTTATCAATACAGAGAACACGTTTCCACTGCTCCAGAGTCCAATGGTGGCCAGCTTTACACCACTCCAGCCGACGCTTGGCATTGTGCGCATGGTGACCTTAGGCTTGTGTGCGGCTGCTCGGCCATGGAAACCCATTTCATGAAGCTCCCGACTAACAGTTATTGTGCTGACGTTGCTTCCAGAGGCAGTTTGGAACTCGGTAGTGAGTGTTGCAATCGAGGACAGACAATTTTTACGCGCTACGCGCTTCAGCCCTCGGCAGTCCCGTTCTGTGAGCTTGTGTGGCCTACCAGCCGTTGTTGCTCCTAGACGTTTCCACTTCACAATAACAGCACTTACAGTTGACCGGGGCAGCTTTAGCAGGGCAGAAATTTGACGAACTGAATTGTTGGAAAGGTGGCATACTATGACGGTGCCATGTTGAAAGTCACTGAGCTCTTCAGTAAGGCCATTCTACTGCCAATGTTTGTCTATGGAGATTGCATGGCCGTGTGCTTGATTTTATACACCTGTTGCTGAAATAGCCGAATCCACTAGGGGTAGCCGAATTGAAGGGGTGTCCACATACTTTTGTATATATACAGTGCATTCGGAAAGTATTCAGACCCCTTCCCTTTTTCCACATCTTGTTACGTTACAGCCTTATTCTAAGTTAAATACATTTTTCCCCCATATATCTACATATAATAACGCATAATGAGAAAGCGAAAACAGGTTATTAGAAATGTTTGCAAATGTATTAAAAATACAAAACTGAAGACTTCAAATTGATCTCAGGTGCATCCTGTTTCCATTGATCATCCTTGAGATGTTTCTACTTGATTGGTGTCCACTTGTGGTAAATTCAATTGATTGGACATTATTTGAAAAGGCACACACCTGTCTATATAAGGTCCCACAGTTGACTGTGCATGTCAGAGCAAAAACCAAGCCATGAGGTCGAAGGAATTGTCCGTAGAGCTCCAAGACAGGATTGTGTTCGAGGCACAGATCTGGGGTAGGGTACCAAAATATTTCTGCAGCATTGAAGGTCCCCAAGAACACAGTGGCATCCATCATTCTTAAATGGAAGAAGTTTGGAACCACCAAGACTGTTCCTAGAGCTGGCCACCCGGCCAAACTGAGCAATCGGGGGAGTAGGGCCTTGGTCAGGGAGGTGACCAAGAACCCGATGGTCACTCTGACAGAGCTCCAGAGTTCCTCTGTGGAGATGGGAGAACCTTCCAGAAGGACAACCATCTCTGCAGCACTCCACCAATCAGGTCTTTATGGCAGAGTGGCCAGATGGAAGCCACTCCTCAGTAAAAGTCACACAACAGTTGGAGTTTGCCAAAAGGCACCTAAAGACTTTCAGACCATCAGAAACAAGATTCTCTGGTCTGATAAAACCAAGATTGAACTGTTTGGCCTGAATGCCAAGGGTCACGTCTGGAGGAAACCTGGCCCCATCCCTACGGTGAAGCATGGTGGTGACAGCATCATGCTGTGGGGATGTTTTTCAGCGGCAGGGACTGGGAGACTAGTCAGGATCGAGGGAAAGACTACAGAGAGATCCTTGATGAAAACCTGCTCCAGAGCGCTCAGGACCTTAGACTGAGGTGACGGTTCACCTTCCAACAGGACAACGACCCTAAGCACACAGCCAAGACAACACAGGAGTGGCTTCGGGACAAGTCTCTGAATGTCCTTGAGTGGCCCAGCCAGAGCCTGGACTTGAACCCGATCGAAAATCTCTGGAGAGACCTGAAAATAGCTGTGCAGCGACGCTCCCCATCCAACCTGACAGAGCTTGAGAGGATCTGCAAAGAAGAATGGGAGAAACTCCCCAAATACAGGTGTGCCAAGCTTGTAGCGTCACACCCAAGAAGACTCGAGGCTGTAATCGCTGCCATAGGTGCTTCAACAAAGTACTGAGTAAAGGGTCTGAATACTTATGTAAATGTGATATTTCCATTTTTTAATTTTTTATAAATTTGCTAAAATGTCTAAAAACCAGTTTTTGCTTTGTCATTATAGTGTATTGTGTGTAGATTGATCAGGGGAAAAAACAATTTAATCCATTTTAGAATAATGCTGTAACATAACAAAATGTGGAAAAGGTCAAGGGGTCTGAATACTTTCCGAATGCACTGTAGTGTATAATTGTTCTACTTTTTTTGGTGATTCTCAGTCATTATACAGAAAAGCGGCCAAAACAGAAGTTATGAACTAAATGTCCAGCCACCTCGCTCTGCATCTCTGTCATTTCTCTGGCAAACTGGATCTCTGTGGTCTCTGGGAGTAGAGAGTAGAGGGAGGTTGAGATGTCCTTCTTCCCACTCTCTTTGTATTTGATCTGAGAAACAGAGAGAGATGAGTAAGTATTAATACTTGTTTAATGATCTCAAGCTAGGCACTTGTGTAGATATGAAATTATTGGATAGGTCAAATAAATATGGTATAAAATACACCTAGACATAGGGCAAGGTGGAGCTACTACCTTATTGCTTATACCTATGTATTTATTTTAGAACTACATTCAGTACCTAGGGGAATTGTTTCTGAACCCGGCTTATGTCTATAGAAATCTGGAGTGCCAATTGAAGTTGATAGCAGAATGACTATAACAACATTATGTTAATTCCAGTAGCATTCATGCTCACCTCGCTCTGCATCTCTGTGAGCTCCCGAGCTCTCTCTGTCTCCATCGTCTCAGGGAGTTGAGAGTAAGCCGAACCAGAGAAGACTTTCTCACCTTTGTATTTGAGCTGGAAAACAAAGTAATGGATGTGAGTTGAGGTAGGCCTCCGTGCTTCAGCAAACAAAGTAAAGTAGGAGGGGTGCTGCTCAACAACAAAGACAGGAATCCATAAATTGGGCTTACCCAAAATAAACTTCCAATTGTGGACTTATTTATGGTAAAGGCATTGGAGCACTCAAATAACACAGGCAGAGATTTGCTTCATCTTGGAACGCTCAGGCTTTATTCCATTAGATGGAAAGGTACACTGACGTTTGATACTGAAGTAATGTATGTTTGTCAGTAACAGGAAGGGTTTCCTCTGAATTAGTTATGATGAAAAATGTAATGTACAGACATCAGATGGGCAGCCCATGTTCTTACCTCACTCTGTAGCTGTGAAGCCTCTTTGGCGTGCTGGGTCTCCAAAGTCTCTGGTAAGGTGGAGTAGAGAGAAGTGGAGGCCTCTTTCTTCCCTGCTTCTTTGTATTTTGTCTGGAAAACAACAGCAACAAAAGACACTGCTACTTTTGTAGACATAATAGAAACGTGCAGGTATTCTCTGATTAAACAGCATTTTTTGTACATGAAGATCGATAAAGAAAAAGGATAAATGTTTCTGTGTTTCTCTTGGAAAGGGAATTCCTCCTTCTCTGGCTTCAGTTATTGACTAAAGGAAACATCCAATTTTGAGAATCACATTTTGCATAAATAAATAAACTGATGTCAATGAGAGATTTTCACTGTAAAATTTCTCAAGTTAGAAATGTATTCAGCCCATGTTGATGTTTGGTGATTCTAAACAGATATTTACCTCGCTCTGCATTTCAGACATCTGCTTTGCAAACTGTGTCTCTGCTGTCTCGGGGAGCAGAGAGTAGAGGTTGCTAGAGTTCTCCTCAGTATCTTCTTTATACTTGATCTGGTATAGTAGAAATGAAGATGACAGCTTATGAACCAGAGATCATTGAAACCAAGCCTACAAAATCATTGCCAAAAACCAGTGAGAATAACTTATATCTTCCCACACAAAAGCCTCCCCAAAGATTCACTTATACCTGTAGTTGTTTGGATAAATTGAATATGAAGCGACAAGAAACATTTCTAATCACTGACCAAAATACTAAAATATTTAATAACCTGAAATCAAATTGTTCAAGATTTCTCTGAGATCGTACTCAGACCAAATTTAAATAAACAACCCAAAAACTATTTTAGTCGTAGTCATTCTGCAAGAATGCACATTGTACATGCATGATGTGTATTCTAACAGCATATATATACAGACATATTCTTTACCTGGCTCCGCATTGCTGATTGTCGTTTCGCAAAATTTGTCTCAATTGTTTCGGGCAGCGTAGAATAGAAACTGGGGGAGGTGTTATTTTTCAGTCCTTCCCTGTACTTTAGCTGGAATAAAGGAAACATCACATGCATTTAAATGCATTTAAATTACTAGTTGAACTACATGTAGTTCACTACTTCCCATTCCTGTTCATACTCTACCTCACTCTGTAGCTGGGAAGCCTCTTTGGCGTGCTGGGTCTCCATTGTTTCTGGTAAGGTGGAGTAGAGAGAACTAGAAACTCCCTTCTTCCCTGCTTCTTTGTACTTCATCTAAATGGAGGAAAAAAGATTCAGCATTTTATTCAGTATGTATTTCCAATGAATTTACTCAAGGATCTATACAATGTTGATGGGCATCGCCATCATTCCAAATGGAACAAATATGTAAGAAAATTGTCCCTTAACTAAGGAATAATAGTTGCTAACCTCACTCTGAAGTTCAGAGACAGCTTTCGCAAACTGTGTCTCGGTGGTTTCTGGAAGCTGAGAGTACACACTCGTGGAGATACGCCTTTTTCCTTCTTCTTTGTATTTATTCTGGAAAAAGGAAAGTATTGTGATATATAATCATTCTAATTTGTTGGTTAATTCTCAATCATTATACAGAAAAGCACCCAAAACAGAAGTTATGAACTAAATGTCCAGCCACCTCGCTCTGCATCTCTGTCATTTCTCTGGCAAACTGGATCTCTGTGGTCTCTGGGAGTAGAGAGTAGAGGGAGGTTGAGATGTCCTTCTTCCCACTCTCTTTGTATTTGATCTGAGAAACAGAGAGAGATGAGTAAGTATTAATACTTGTTTAATGATCTCAAGCTAGGCACTTGTGTAGTTTGAAAGTATTGGATAGGTAAAATAAATGTGGTGAAAATTAAATCTAAATGCTATATAGTACCTCACTCCGTAACTGGGACGCTTCCTTGGCGTGCCGGATGTCCTTGGTCTCGGGGAGTAGAGAGTACAAAGAAGTGACCACCTCCCTCTTGCCTGCTTCCTTGTACTTGGTCTGCAACACCACAAGAAAACAATCAATTCACAATGCAGGGCCCTTGTGTAGACAAGTGTTAAGTGAACTTTAACGAAAGTTAGATTTTGTTTGGAATGAATATTCACCTCGCTCTGCATTTCAGACATCTGCTTGGCCAACTGGGTCTCTGTGGTCTCGGGGAGCAGAGAATACAGGCTTGTCGAGATCTTCTGCTTCCCCCCCTCTGTATACTTGAGCTGAAGGAGGAGACACAGACATGTGTTTCTTGATCCTGAATCTTCTTAAACCTTCTCTAAAGTTCATGATACAATTCTGTAATACTTTCTAACAACTTCAATGACTTAGCATTTAAGTATTTATAAACTAAAAATACGTTTTCATTATTTGAAAACATCTACAATGACTAAGCATAATTATGTATGAGCATTTATAATGATTATTCATGAAAGGTATTATAAAGTGTTACCCAAAATCCTTCTAATCAATCAGTGACTCATATGTATGAGTCATTGGCCTACTGCGCCATGAAATTACCTCACTCTGTAAGTCGGAGACCTCTTTTGCAAACTGGGTCTCTGGCGTCTCTGGGAGCAGAGAGTAGAGGCTAAAGGAGTTCTCTTTCCCATCCTCTTTATACTTTATCTACAAAATGGTGGAAAATAATTTGAGTCAACATGATTGAACCATTAAAAAGATTGGAGGATATATCCTTGTGAATCATCAAGAAATGTACTCCTTCTGGTTTTGTTTGGATAAATTGGATAATGAAGAGGCAACACGAAACATTTCCAAGCACTGACCCACAAACTAAAATACGTGATAGACTGAATTAAATTATTCATGATTTTTCTGAGATTCTACTCAGAGCAAAAACATTTTTAAAAAATTATATTGTAATGAATTTCCCTTCTTTTTTTTTGTCATTCTGTGAGAATGCACATTGTACTTCCTGTGTATTCTAACAGTATATACACACATACATATTATTTACCTCACTTCGCATTGCTGATTGTTGTTTCGCAAAATTAGTCTCAATTGTTTCGGGCAGCGTAGAATAAAAACTGGGGGAGGTGTCCTTTTTCAGTCCTTCCCTGTACTTTAGCTGGAATAAAGGAAACATCACATGGAAACATTGGCTACCTCAAATGAGAACTAGAGAAAACTAGAAACTCCCTTCTTCCCTGCCTTCTTGTACTTTATCTGACACGAAAACCATAACAGACATCTCAGGACAGCTAAAAAAGACTTCCCTTTAAAAGGACCAAATATACAATACAAAAATAGGACAATTGAAATGTACCTACATAAGGCTTTCATAACACATTCATAACACACATACCACAAGTATATAAGTATTTCATAAACGCTTACGTCAAATGCCAACAACCGCATGTTGATATTTTTATTATGCGGTTGTTGACATATGTCATTCCCACGGGGGCCAGTATGAAAAATGTATGCACTCACTAATTGTAAGTCGCTCTGGATAAGAGCGTTTGCTAAATGACTAAAATGTCTAAAAAAATTGCTTATGAATGTGATATGTGTGGGTTATGACGTCCTTATGTAGGTAATAACCTTCAAGTAAAGTGTTACCTAACGTTTGGCTTTGATTTTTGTGTTCTTGATGTCCATACCTCACTCTGGAGTTCTGACACAGCTTTAGCAAAATGGGTCTCAGGGGTCTCTGCTAGTTGAGAGTAAATGCAACTGGAGGCATTCCTTTTTCCACTCTCTTTGTATTTGTTCTGAAGGATGACAATGCAAAAATGCTCAATGAATTAAACCCAGGCATAGACAATAAGCAAGCCTTAACATGTATTATTGACTGAGGCTGAGCTTAACTTCAGACCACTTCTGAGGTATACAAAACATCTCACAAACTTTTATTTTGGGGTTCTAAACCTTGAAATAGCTCTGAGACTATAGTTCCCTGACTTTACAAATGAATACACACCTCGCTCTGCATCTCTGTCATCTCTCTGGCAAACTGGATCTCTGTGGTCTCTGGGAGTAGAGAGTAGAGGGAGGACGGTGCACCTTTGCTTAATTCTTTGTATTTCATCTGAAAAGGGAGATACAGAGAACAGCAACTAATCACAGTGTTCTAATTCAGGCTCAACACTTCAACAGTTGGCACATTTTCTTTCATATTTACTGAGTAGAGGGCAGTGACTGTCTTGGGTTTAGACGGGTACCACACTAAACACACTTTTTAAAGCGCTAGTGCATTTAATTCCATTATTTTCAATGGTGCGGACACACTAGGAATGATCCTACACTGTAACACGTCTCCCCTCGCCTCACATTTTCACTGTTGTCTATGGCTGTTAGTGTGACCTTGTGTCGTCATCAATGTCAATGTTGATTCTAAATGTTGATTGTCTTCACACTTCACACACGTTCGTGAATAAGCCCAATGAAGTGAAGTGGACTGAAGTTAATATACCTCACTCTGTAGCAGAGAAGCCTCTTTGGCGTGTTGTATCTCCATGGTCTCTGGTAGCAGGGAATACATAGAAGTAGAGAGCCTTCTCTTCCCGGCCTCCCTGTACTTGTTCTGCAACACAAGATACATTTTTACATTTTAGTCATTTAGCAGATGCTCTTATCCAGAGCGACTTACAGTTAGTGAGTGAATAAATTATTTAAAAAAAAAAAAATTCATACTGGCCCCCCGTGGGAATCGAACCCATAACCCTGGCGTTTCAAACGCCATGCTCTACCAACTGAGCTACATCCCTGCCGGCCATTCCCTCCCCTACCCTGGATGACGCTGGGCCAATTGTGAGCCGCCCCATGGGTCCAGGATCTCTAGTGGCACAGCTAGCACTGCGATGCAGTGCCTTAGACCACTGCGCCACTCGGGAGACTTAGAAATAGCATTAGTTGGTTTTTACTGCTTGACTCATTTATTCTGCTCTCACCACTCTAGGCTGTGTTTAGTACTGACAGTGGTATATTGATCATGCCTGGGGTCATGGGATTTGAGTGGTGGCTAACATAGTCTGACTGGGAAGTAGACTCAATTCATTGCCCATCAGACCGTGGAGGCTTGGTACCCGGAAGTCTTCGTCACTAACCATCTCGGGTTGGCCAATCAGTAAGGGGAGAATGTTAAAGAATGTTAATACAGTGACCCAATGTGCGGAACACTAAATCTACCATACAGCCGTTAAATCTTTCCTCCTCATGATGAGCGGAAGAAGAGGAAGAGGAGGGTGGTAATACCTCACTCTGGAACTCTTTCACCGTTTTAGAGAGCTGCATCTCAGTGGTGTCTGGAAGCAGGGAGTACAGGCTGCTGGAGATTTCCCTTTTCCCCTCCTCTCTGTACTTGCTCTGGAAAAGAAACAAGCACATTCCAAAAAACGCTGCCATTCCTAGGCACACTACAAGACCAGTGCCAAGTGAATGAATCTTCTTGGCACTGTGGTTGATGCGTCAGCCACTCAAGTGGATGATATCAGATTTGAATGTCGTTCATTCTCAATTTTGCCAAATGGTGTCAGAAGTTGGAAAAGCTCTCACTTCACTCAGCATGTCCGAATGCTCCTTCGCAAACTGAGTCTCAAGGGTCTCCGGGAGCAGTGAGTAGAGGGAAGTGGATATCTCCGTCTTCACATTCCCTTTGTACTTGATCTGGAAAAAGTCCAAGTTAATATTCTATTAATATCTACTGTAATCCTTGTTATTTATCTGTAGCCAAAGTGTTTCAGTGGCATTTAACATACTTTTTTTATCGACTGAATCTATTCAACCTTTGTTAAGCCAGGTAAGTCTTCGAGCACAAATAGTATTTTACGATAACAACCTGTTTCAGAATGACTGTGAAGGGTGACTTTAGGCTCAAGATGATCTGGCTGGAGATATGCAGTCTATAACGCCTCCGTGTAGCTAAGTCAGAGAGGCTGAAATAACAAGGAGGTTTGGTGTGATCTCACTACCTCACTCTGTAGCTCGGATGCCTCTCTGGCGTGTTGGGTCGCCATTGTTTCTGGGAGCACTGAGTAGAGACACATGGCTGTTTCCAACTTTCCTTCCTCCTTGTACTTGGTCTAAAACATAACAGTGATGGAAAAACAATACAAATCATCCCTACTAGCATCCATGCTAAGACAATTGCACAAACACAAAATATACCTGTGTCTCAGTTTATGAACATAGCATCCATGCTAAGACAACATTTTAGACACAAATGCACAAACACAAAAAATACCTGTGTCTCATCGTTTATGAACATAGCTCAAATGACAAGCTTATTAGACACACTTTCAAACATAAAAATACCGTGGGTGCACTACGTTTATAATGCTTTGAACGTTGCTAAGGAAAAAAACTAGCTTTCACTAGGAATTTTCCAGCCGGAAAATGCACTAGCTGTTGTTTTATGCGTTTTGTAAGCACTTAGAAGCTAATGTAGAAGAAAAACAATTGTTTTATGGTCATTCCATGTTTAAAAGACCAGCCAAGCCTTTTTCACAGTGAAAAGTCACATTATCTGAATCCATTAAGCTTGTGAGAGCTTCAGGTGAAGCATCCGTGTTGAATATTGATGTGAGTTTTGTCCAGTCAACTGTTCAACTATCCTGTCATGTGTGTCTGCTTATGTGCATAATGTATGCGTGTGTGTGCGTATCTGTGTGTGTGTACGTGCATGTGTGTGTGTGTTATGAATGTGTGTGTTGACAGGAGCAGAATGCACTTTAAAAGGCACTGTTGACAATCAACAGGACAGTCTATCCACAAGCAGAGCACCAAAACAATACCTTATATCACAGGGCTGACAGACACTGTGACTGGAATGACAAAGCTCAGTGCTGAGGAATGTTTTGTGTCTGCGGCTTGCCAAGGTGCCAAGGAGAGGGGAGAGGGAAAGAGAGAGAGAGAGAGATTGGGGGAGAGAGAGAGATAGGGGGAGAGAGAGAGAGAAGAGAGAGACAGAGAATGACGTCAACAACACACAACTCACCTCAGAGATGAAAGCGTTGACGTTCTTTGAATGCTGAAACTCTACGTCGGGAATGAAGAGGTTCTGGGCCTTGGATTTCTCATAAACCTCCTTGTACTTAACCTACAGGATAGCAGGAGAGAGGTGTTATGTTTTGTTCTTTTGTCTTTCTTAGGCCCCACCACCACCCACCTTATTCGAAGGACAACTTTATTAGTTTAATAACATGGTGTCATGACAAACAGTAAAATACAGGTCGATACAAAGCATATTGTTTTCAGCATATCGTTATCTACACAGGCCTGAAGAAAAGGCTGCTTTTCCTCAAAAACCTTTACAGGTGGCTACACCCCATTACTGGACAGTGCAGCCAATCCTGCCACAACCTCCCACAATAACAACAGGCTGTATTAAAGAACAAAGAGGATGAATCCTACTTACGTCACTTGCCAGAACACTGCACCTCCTGGCGAAACCGGGTTCGGGCAAGACAGGCTTAGCAGCCGAGGTCTGACAGGAGAACAAAGCACATAGTTACAGTCTGCAAAGGGTTAAAACCTGTAGGGTGTCAGCTGATATGTTGGGCCTCATAATGGTTCAAGATAAGCTTATCGCAAGCTACAGTAATTAGGTAATGACAAATTATTATTATTATATATAGACAGTATATATATATATATATTTATTTGACCAGGTAAGTTGATTGTGAACACATTCTCATTTACAGCAACGACTTGGGGAATAGTTACAGTGGAGAGGAGAGTAGATTAATGAGCCAATTGGAAGCTAATAAACCAATAAGGCCCTTTATATAGGTGACCGTGCACTAAGAGCTCATTACTAATGAATACAGTAACTTAAGTGTATGGGTCTGCTTGGCACGTTGTCTGACTGTACCGGTTGTGTTACAGTGTCTATTGTAGCTACAGCATAAAGGAGACAAAAGCTCAGCTAGACAATTGTTCCTCTGGCCGATACTGCTTATCAATGCTTTTCCATTTGGACACTGTGCCACACTGGCATGGCATTACAATGGGGGCATATATTTGACCTTCTACATTTTACCAGCAAAAAGTCAGGCAAAAAAAGCTTCTACATCTCCAGAACAGGGGGGAATAGAGATGGCCTTTCCATTTATTCAACTAGGGGACGATGAAGAGAGAGGAAAAGAGACCCCTCTTGAACATGAAAAACTACACTGAAGTAATATACTGTAGTAATATACTGTAGTGTCAGAATGTTCATCATTTATGTCCTGTAATCATGTTTCAACAATGTATTTCGTCCTGCCAAAAGTATTCAAATAGCCAGTGTGCTTCTCCGCTATCGTGTAAAATTGTATGGCCAGCAGTTGCTAAAGGTTTTATCTCCACTAAGTGGTGGGTGTCATAATTAGAGAGCACTTTGAGACATGTCGGAATTATTCTACATCACAGATGGATACTTAGTAATTATGCAGATTCATTGTGCAAAATAATTGGTGTATTATGTTGACGGACAACAAGGAAACATTCAAATGGCCAATCACAAACCTCTCTAACCAGTCATCCCGCCCTCACTTTTTTTCTCCATATGACCAGAGGAAAAATGAAGGGGTGGGGGCTTCTGAATGATAAGCAGCTGAAATCCAAAATAGCTGCTTCGTTCTTCTTCACTAGATATGGCTTCTTATCTAATGGACAGGCAGCACAAACTGTAATTCCTTCCCTTTGAAAGCCATAAAGAACTCATATCATTCGAGGGATCATATCACCATGGTTACTCAAAATTATAGTTATCTTCTGAGTTGGAGTAGAGGGAGGGAATTGTGATCTAATCTATACATTTCTAGGCTTGTTTGGTTCCCATGTGCCTTTCCTCTCTAGTAATAGCAGTACTATTTTAGGACACCTTCAGACTCCAGACTCACCTCTCTTTGAGCTTAGCTTTCATAGTAATCTCTATCTCCTAGGGGTGTTGAGCACAAAAAAGGGTCCACCCTCTCATTTTGTTCCAGATGAATTATCGCCAGATTGGCCAACAAACCTCTTAATCTGTGGTGCTGTAGTGTAGGCATGACTAAATCCATCAAGGGCTTTCCTCCAAATCCTTTACAGGTGGCTATAGCCCATTACTGGACTGCAGTGAATCCTGCCACAACCTCCCACAATAACAACAGGCTGTATTAGAGAACACAGAGGATGAATCCTACTTACGTCGCTTGCTAGAACACTGCACCTCCTGGCGACATGCACACTGGGTCTGCGCAAGACGGGCTTAGCAGTCGAGGCCTGACAGGAGAACAAAGCACATAGCTACAGTAGGTATAAATCCCCCCGCAGCTTTAGAAAAGCGTGCCAGTCTGTGCCAAGGTCATCAGAAAGACACACAGGCCGGGGCAATGCCAACCGGCGTTCTCACCTCGACTTCCCCTTCTGTGCCATGCTCGTTCACCGCTGCTTCTCCCAGCACCGTTTCCTCAGACAATTCTTCCATCCAGGTGACTCGTCCTGTAGCACGCTTGCCCACCACTGCTTCTCCCAACACCGTTTCCTCTGACCTTCCTTCCATCAAGGTGACCATTTCCTCTGATGTTCCTTCCATCAAGGTGACCGTTTCCTCTGACATTCCTTCCATCAAGGTGATCATTTCCTCTGATGTTCCTTCCATCAAGGTGACCGTTTCCTCTGACGTTCCATCCATCAAGGTGACCGTTTCCTCTGACGTTCTCGCCTTCAAGGTGACTGTTTCCTCCGACGTTCCCGTCATCAAGGTGACCGTTTCTTCTATCAATGTGACCGTTTCCTCCAATGTTCCTTCCATCGAGATGAGAGCTTCTTCCGACGTTAGTTCCATCAAGATGACCGTTTCCTCTGACGTTTCTTCCATCCAGGTGACTTCTGGGTAAAGAAAACAGTAAAACACACAAAAGAGATGGTTTTGAGGCAGGTAATGGAAATGTGGCCAGCCTAAGAGTCAAAACGCTGTTCATGAAGGATTTAGTTTTCTGGCTCAACTCTCCCTCTCGACTCTATGTTGGGTACTCCTTATCATCCCCGCTTTCCCGATTTAGACCCTACTTGGGGCGTTATCAATGGTGATGCCGTACATGTGAATCAGAGGGCCAGTCTTAAGGGTGGGAGGGTGAGGAGGTTCAGGAAAGGTGTCGCACACTGGAAGGAATGTCCCAATCCAGGCGTGTCCTCTAATATCAAAAGTATTTTAGTTATTTGAGATAACAAGTGCAAGTCCAAAAACACAACACCCTTCTTAACCTTCAGCAGCCTTACAAAAACCTTCACTGGCCTGACCTTAAGGATAACCATGACAGAATGAAGAGACCAGGGGAGGGGAATGAAAAGTTGAGGCCAATAAAGCAGATATGGAGGAGTTACATTTACATTTTGTCATTTAGCAGATGCTCTTATCCAGAGCGACTTACAGTTAGTGAGTGCATACATTTTCATACTGTCATATTGGCATGAGAATAATATTACCAGAGCGCTTTAGACTCCCATCCTCCTACTCAGTCTCTAAACGAGCTGATTGGATGCAGGACACAATTAATGGGTGTTAACATTCAATATCCCTAATTTAGACCTGACTATTACCATAATTGACCTCTAAATATAGGGCTTTAGGCACCAATCCTGTGGGAGGTTTTCTCCTCTTATCATATGTAGTGGAATAGGGTAGCATTGGGTTTGTATGGCACAAAGAAAGCTAGATAGCTTTAACTGGATGACAGACCCATTTGGAGCCAAGTCCTGATACCAGTGAGTCTACAGTGAGGAAATGCAACGTTGCAACAAGCAGCACTTGTTGTTATTATGTATCCTGCCAAGATGGAATATGAGGAAATCCACTTGTAGGTGTAAAGTCGTCAGCATACAGTAAATTATATTTCCCTAAATGACAAAGAAATCAAGTTGTTTCGCATTGCTCTCAATGCCCTGGCTTCCATTCATTGAAATTACACCGAAAAGTTAAAGAGATGGCAAACAAATATAACACATTGACATTCTAATCTGAAGAATGCCTGTGTTTCAAATCGAGATACTGTGGAACCGTAGTGGGCCAATCAATAGCTCTAGGAACATGTCTGCACTCCCTATTAGCAGAGAGAAGGTCCATAAGCAGTCAGTTAAAGAAGGCTCTATTCTTCCTGCATGCGGTCATGTGCCTCGGCTCTTATCTCAAAGGCATTGAGTGGAGCTGTGGTAGCAGAGCCCTCACCTTTTATCAGCCTCAACACACTAGAGCCCTCACCTTTTATCAGCCTCAACACACTAGAGCCCTCACCTTTTATCTGCCTCAACACACTAGAGCCCTCACCTTTTATCTGCCTCAACACAATAGAGCCCTCACCTTTTAACTCAAACCATCCGCGGGCCGTATGTTTGACACCCCTGAGTTATATGATACTTGTTTCATTGTGTAGGTGAATATGTGAATTTCAGGCTTCATATACGATACTTCTCTTTCTCTGGTTTACCTGAGAGGAACTGAAACCAATGTGTTTACTTCTGAGTAAGTGTGTTAGGGAAAAATTTGTTTAACATTGTTTGTAGAGCATGCAATGGCTATTAGTAATATTGTTGTATGGTGGTATTACACATTTTGTATTGTAAATATGTAGTGTGTAATAATGTTATATGATGTACTGTTTTATATTTTATTTTATATGTAATGTAAGTGCCTTAATGTGTTTGGACCCCAGGAAGAGTAGCTGCTGCCTTGGCAGCAGCTAATGGGGATGACTAATAAATACAAATACAAATTAGTGGGTTCCAGTCATTAAAACATTGATGTTTATTTTATTTTTACTGTCAGATTATAGGATACTGTGAATGGTTAAGTTTTTCTGACTGAAATCAGTCATCACAGTCATTATCTCAACACAGACGAGGCTATTGGGAACGAATTGCAGAAATCTCTGAAGCTGGAGACTCTTATCTCCCTCACTAACTTTAAGCATCAGTTGTCAGAGCACCTTACCGATCACTGCACCTGTACACAGCCCATCTGAAATTAGCCCACCCAACTACCTCATCCCTATATTGTTATTTATTTTGCTCTTTTGCACCCCAGTATCTCTATTTGCACATAATTTTAACATTTACATTTTAGTCATTTAGCAGACGCTCTTATCCAGAGCGACTTACAGAAGCAATTAGGGTTAAGTGCCTTGCTCAAGGGCACATCGACAGATTTTTCACCTAGTCGGCTCGGGGATTAGAACCAGCGACCTTTCGGTTACTGGCACAACGCTCTTACCCACTAAGCTACCTGCCGCCCCGAGCTACCTTGCACATCTAGCATTTCAGTGTTAATACTAATTGTATTTATTTTGCACTATAGCCTATTTATTGCCTTACCTCCATAAACTTGCTACATTTGCACACACTGTATATATATTTTCTGTTGTATTTTTTGACTTTATGTTTTTTTACCCCATATGTAACTCTGTGTTGTTGTTTTTATCGCACTGCTTTGCTTTATCTTGGCCAGGTCGCAGTTGTAAATGAGAACTTGTTCTCAACTGGCTTACCTGGTTAAATAAAGGTGAAATAAAAAAATTAAAAAATATTACTGTAGATAAACATCATCACTGACAGCCATGTTTCATCCCTGGCCACTGTCTAAACTAATAGAAACAGACTTTTGCAATGCTGCCATGACTCCCAGCAAAGGTAAACTGGGATGATATTGCCAGTTCATCAATATTAATTTACAGCTGAGAGTACTGTCCGTGACCTAAACCTTCATACGGCCCAGGGAAGCCAAGGGAGTGGACTGTAGCAATTCAACCATCAATTAGTGTTAATCAATTAGAGTTAATTTGATGTAGTCCTATGGAGCAAATAACATCTTAGCAGTCCTTTAGGTTTGGAGAGGAGAAGCATTCAAGGTCTCTGGTTGGGTTCTCCTGTGACACACGACATTCCCAAGATAGATGAGCACCACACTGACTTTGAAAGTCATTCATTAGGCTTCTCGCCTAAATAGCACTGCAGGTCGCTATGGCAGATTATATGTTGGAGGTAATGAGGTTTCAGTAATGTGGTTCACAATATGCACTGCTCTTTAGAGGGTAATTTATGAAGACAATGAGGTTGCACGAGAATTGGGTTCAATCTGTATTTGTTTTCTTTCAAACACTTTAGATGCGCCTGATTGAGCTTGCCCGGCACAATGAAATCAATGGAATGGTCCCAAATGTGCGCACCCCTCCCATCTGGCACTCCAGGCAGGCTCAATCAAAATGCTCAAAGTATTTGGAAGAAAACAAGTAGTATTTGAACCCGCAGGTTTGACTGTACATTGCGGCGTGAGGTTTGGGCCGCAGGAATAGTGCGTCCGTCCATACAGTAGCATGAACGGGTGGCATGAGCCAAAGTTATTTTTTATTGTTTTATAGCAGGGCGTCAGATGCTGGCTTAGTAGGGTAGCCATCTGGCCATTAAGTTCACTCAACCATTTCAAAGGGAGACCAAACAGCCAAAATCGAGAGATCAAAAGTAAAAGTTTCGACCCCTCACTATGTCATCTTTGAAGCGCTGTCAATATCACTTGCAGAGAAATGTATTCACTAACTGTAAGTCGCTCTGGATAAGAGCGTCTGCTAAATGACTAAAATATAAATGTAAAATGAGATTGAAATTCTCTTTTAGAAGGGAGACCAGTTCTAAATGCCACAGTGCAACACAGTTGCTGGGGGTATCAGGAGAGTAAGGAATGCTTTAGAGTGGCCATAGAGATCACTGAGGGGGGAAACAGGGATGGGACAGACTTTAGAGTGGGACTAGCCCCCCTTCTATGGACAGCAGCAACATAAACAACCAATCCCAAATACATTTTTACTTTCTGGTTACATTAAAGGAAAAGGAGTCCCATACTCAACGCAACACAAGAGGGATTTCTATCCAGTTATGTTCAAATTAGGGATAATTCGAAACAGCTACTGCATGTATGTGTATGTATGATGAAGTTGTTGATGCATGTGGGGAGACTCTTTGTATAAATAACCCCATGCATGCCTTTCCATGTTGTTTGGGATTTGATAACAGGGTAAGAGTGATAGGTGTGGTGCTGCTAAAAAGAGACCATAACAACCCAGATGTGGTTGAAAACCACACCAGAGGATTTTGGGCCAGTGCGGTAGGAGTGGGGAGTGGATGTGTATTTTGGGGGGCCACCGCTCTGTATTCTTAGCTTGATATTAGTCATGATGCAGAAACAGAAGCCATTCAATCCTGTCTCAGTACTATAGCATTTAGGTTGTTCTGAGGCTAAAGTAGTATTAGCCGCTAACTAACATTAGCAGCTAAACCTGAGGATAATGTAGCATTAGCCGCTAACTAGCTTTAGCAGCTAACCTGAGGGTAATGTAGCATTAGCCGCTAACTAGCATTAGCAGCTAAACCTGAGGGTAATATAGCTTTAGCCGCTAACTAGCATTAGCAGAAGGATAGACATCTCATGCTCTGTCAAGCTGCATTTAGGCCCTGAAAACCTGCCAAAAGTGCTAGATGACACACACAGGCTTTAAATGGATGTTGAATGATAAAGATTTATTAGGCTGGTATTTGGATTAGACTAGCAGCATTGATATGCTCCTCTCTGATACCACTTTTTAGAGTAAAAAACAACAGAACAACTGAAAGAATTTCGTATAGCCTACAGAGGTGATTTGAAATACCTGTGGAGTTAATTCAAATCAAACCAAACACAGCTTGGAAACGTAACAGCAAATGTAGGTTATTGACTGAAATAGACAAATGTCACTGTAATAATATGAAAAGATGCTCTCTGCAGAGTCTCACCTTCACTGATTTCTAATATATGCGGCAGAAGACAACACAGACATGATACGAGTCTCATATTGTCCTTAGATGAAACAGCACTTCACTGATCGCTTACCTGGATCAGCAGTGGGTCAATGTGCCTATCCTCCCCCAGGAGGACCTGTTGGCACTAAAATCAGATATGGTGAGAGCACATACAGCAGGGGTGACAAACTCATTCCATGGAGGGCCGAGTGCTGCTGGTTTTTGGTTTCACCTTTCAATGTGTCCAATTAAGACCTAGACAACCAGGTGAGGGGAGTT